ATTTCTCCTGTATCTATGTTATAAGACTCCTCAAATCATCTTTCTCAAGTTCAACCTCGAGACGGAAGAGAAAGACTCAGGCAGATAGAACTTTAGCCAGAAATCATGGTCATTATGGTTTATAGGCTTTAAGGGTAATAAGGATTAGATTTAAGGAAAATCAGCTTATTTACACTTTTGAAATAATTTTTTTTAGTTACTGCTCAACATTTGCAAAAAACATTTACCTCTCACGCCCACTCTCAGTCTGCACTACAGTTTCATGATCCATCTTGCATGGGATGGCACTGCATGAAGCAGAATGCCTTCTAGCTTAAGCTCAGTCTATTGCCTTGCAACAGTTGTTAGAGTATCTTCTGAAAAGTAATATCAAACCACTTTATTATTGTGCAGCAGGTGGAAGCCAAAATTGGATTTAGTCTGTAGCAAATGACTCTTATATTTTCCTTACAAGTAACATTCAAACATAGTTACAATTACATTGGAGGTTGGAAAATTACAGGTCTTATTCTAGGGATAAGCAATTCGGGGCTCTATATATTGGATTCAAACTTACACCAGTTATGGATAAAGGTGAGTAATGAGGCTTTATTTTCAGGAATTGGAAGTGTTTACCTTAATACATTAGGGTATTTCATGTCAAATTAAATCAGTGTATTTTAAGACTCCATAAGGCTTTTATTTTTCCATTTTGTGTATATATTCATCTGTATTGTTACTGTTTGCTGTAGACATAATCTAGCAGCTTTTCTAGAATTAAATGTAAAATATAATAGGTTCTTTTCTAGTAATTATTGCTGAAGATAGATCAACATATAGTAATTGAAAAAAAAAAGTTTTGTGGATTTAGGTCCATAGTTTTATGTTTTATGTTTCTTATTTTTTGTAAGCCACATGTCTGCCCATTCCTCTCTAAATGAAATATAGTTGTTTTTTTATATAGCGCGGACAACACTTATAATAATTGCATCTTCTAGTAACTGAGATGCTGGAAGCAATCTATGTATATCCAAGTATATTTTAACCCATTTCAGTCATACCAACAGGCTGTTTTTCAAAGACTAAACAATTTCAACTTTGAATAAAACTTGCTCAATCCCAGTTTAGCAATAAAGCATAGGAATACAGGTACAGTTTACAAATTACAGTTTAGCAATAAAGCATAGGAATACAGGTAATTCCCGAGTTATGAGTGTTCCCTTAGCAATAAGCACCCCCTAGTGTTTATGAAAAAGTCCCTAAGCCTGTGGATACCTTACAAAGATCAAGAGAGCCTTTGCTTTCTTGGCTGTTTCACTGCTTCCTTTGGTGTGTTTACAGAGAACGGAGACGTAAAGTAAAGTGAGATCAGTGGCACAAGATTTCATGCTACTGATCTCATTTGATATCACGGTAGTTTAGGCCTCTGTTGTCTTCAACAAAGAACGGAACAGAAGCTGAGGGAGAATTGACCTCTGGAGGCTTGCAAAAGCCTCCCCTGGCCTCCTCTCTGGGCCTTGGAGGCCTGGAGGACGCCTCAGGCCCAGAATGAAGTTGAAGCATCCCCTGGCGTCCTTACCAGGTGATAGCGGCTTGGGAAAGGCCTCCGACACCTGGATCGGGCCTCCAGAGCCCCACTGAAGTGTTCCCTAGTGTCATTTCCTGGTGGCAGCAGCCCAGAAAAGGCCCGTCACCCAAAAATAACATTGGGGGACATTCCAGCGAGGCTCCGGAGGCCCAATCAGGGTGTCGGAAACCTTTTCTGGGCTACTGCTGCCTGGAAAGGACACCAGGAGTCGCTTCAGCAGGCCTCTGGAGGCCCATTCTGAGCCTCTGAGGCCTCCAAGGCCCAGAACAGAGGCCATGAGCTTCCAGAGGTCTGTTCTGGGCCTCCTAGGCCTTTCCCTGCTCTTGCTGGGAGCAGAGAAAGAAATGGAGGCTGAAGAGGAGACAGGTCTTCACAAGGTAAGTGACCTGGCGCAGAAGGAGGGGGGGAGCAAATGTGGGCCTCCAGGGGAGGGAACACGAGGTGTTTCAGTAGGTCAGGGGAGGCCTTGGGTGGTCTGAAGATGGCCTGTTCCATAACTAGCCCCACCCATGGCCTTCTTCACCCTGAGACACCTCATGTTCACTTAACCAGCCACACATTCACCCACACATTAAATTAGTGAATGTGTGGGCGAAAGCTGAGAGTGAATTGCATTCAAGGTACGAGATTCATGTCTATGAATCCTCGAGTTATGAATGGAATGGGCAGGCTCCAATACATTCGTAACTTGAGGACTACCTGTAATTTCCTATAAAAGTTTCCCACCACCTATTTAAGCAAGATGTGGCTAGAATTTCCACTGCAGCCACTAGAGGCTCCTCTTGGCTGCTGTGAAGTCCAATATTGTGATCAGAAGGAAATTTGATTTCTGATTCTCTGCATCCTTATATACATCAACACCACTAATGACTCAGAGATGTTTGATACTCTGGCATATACAACGATTGTACTGTACCTATTTCTGCAGAGAATCTTAACTACTTAATATGTGGATAAAATCATTGTTAGCAGTGATGAGGCATGAACAGAAGATATAACAATAGTTTTATAAACAAAAATTGTAATACTATGATAACAGGCCAGTTCCAGAATGGCATGTAAAATGTAATTTTGTGATTGTCATAAATAAATGTAGAATAGCCCCAAATGAGCTAGGCTTGTGTATATATGGAAAGTTACAAAAACAAGGCCTCTTGAGGTTCATCTGAGGAACCAAGTAATCTGGTTTTGAGAAAGCTCTCTTTTTAGTAAGATTTCTTAAAACATCTGTTGCAATTGGAGGATTACTTGATATGGCTGTGCAAATCTAGAGGTCTTCACTTCATTAGTTATTTGAACTAAATGTTCCTTTGATGGCTTCCTGCTTCTGACCTGTTTGGCTGTCCCACTGCAACCATTGTTGGAGGCTGCTTCTGTGCAGAAGCCACTATTTAATGGAATGGATCAGCCAATCAAGGCAGTAAGGTCTGCCTTATATATATAAAGTTCTGGATGGCAGCAATTTCTCATTTCCTAGACTGCCCAGGCAGGGAGAGCTGTGCCAAGTCAGAATCATAATAGTCTCTCTTCCCTGATCTGACCTAGTGCGTGATCTCATGTACAATGAGATTTAGCTGATCAAAGTCTTATTAATGACCACCATGGACATTGATCACACCCATGGCCAAATATGTTCTTCAGTGACCTGAATGTTTTCTTATCCTGTGAAATGGGCTTTTTTGGTATCTAATTCTCAGAACATTTTTAATTTTCATAGTTGGCAATGCTTTTAAGTTTAGATTATAGTTGCATGTTAGCAGTGACCACCAGAGAGGGGCTAGTTGTTGCTGTTTTTAATTACACTAATTGCACAATACCATGCATCATCTCATGTTGCCTTTTGGATTTCCAATTTGAAAAAAGTACCACAGGAAGGAAGTCTCTTCATTGGTATTTAATTGTAACTTGAGAAAGATCACAATGCAAGATGAAGTATTCACATCTATTCCGTAATTACCTTATAATTATGGAAAGAGCAAACACTTCCTCCAAATCTTTGAAGACATTTTGAAATCATTCCCTTCCCATCATATTGAATTAGAACTATTAGAAAGGAAATGTTGGGAAACCAAAATGTTGGAAAATTGCATAGCAATTTCCAATTTAGTTTGCACCCAGTATATACCTAGTCATTCCCTATTTCCTGGTCATAGCAGGCACACACACCACTCAGATTTGCTAGCAAAAATAAAGCTTGGTGTTAATTTATATAACTTCATCAAATATCAAAACTGTTAGCAAAACAGGGCAAAAGACAGGCCAAAGCAGGCAAAAGTTAAACTTGTCCAATTGGCAAGAGATAAAAAAGCAAAAGAATAAATTATTAACAATAAATGTTATCTATATATTTCTTAATATGCAGAACCTTCCAGAGCTCACTGTGCTCACTGTGGCCAACTTGCCACGGGACAACTGGCTGTGGTATAATTCAATGCTTCAATGCTGCATTAATAGCTTCATTCAGATACTTTTATCATTGGTGACCATGTTTTTGTTGAAATTATTGTAACTCATATATTTTTAATTATTTTTTTATTATTATTGGGCATGGTTCTGTCAAAATTAATTTAACTTTTGTATTTGTTGAATTGTCCCACAATGAGTTTTCCCGCAACGACTTGGCCACAGTGAGTTCTGTGGCAAGGTTGGTTGTGGCGAGTTGTCCCATTTCAGGAAACAATACTATAGGCAATGAGTATGGGAATGGGAATGGCCTTTAGTTATTCTACCTTTTAAATGTAAATAACAGCAGTTAAATGGAGATGAAAAGTAGGACACAATGTCATCCTCTATTCTACATGGGGGGGGGAGACCATTCAGCAGATGTGGAGAAGAACTGTCCATATTGTCTTAGTTAAGAAGAAGGCCACTAGAATGGGGAGCTTGGGGATACCACCTATGAGAACACATAACCTTACCTTGTCCTGTCTGTTCCCCATGACTCACTTTTCTTTTTGACTAGCCAATCATCTTTTAGCTAGGTTCCAAGAAAGAAAAAAAAAACATTTTTCACCAGTAATATTAAAAAGAGAAGAAAAATAATGATCTGGGGCAGAAGTGGCAGAAGGAGGAAATGAGATTCCCTGTTCAATGCTCCTAAAGTTTCTGTAATGGATATATGTAGGCTTGTTTGCTTATATCATAGTTTGTAGACAGCTATGAGGGCGAGTTTGATGTAGTGATTAAAGACAACAGGCTAGAAACCAGGAGATTATGAATTCTAGTCTTGCCTTAGGCACAAAGCCAGTTGGGTGACCTTGGTCCAATCCCTCTCTCTCAGCCCTATGAAGAAAGCAAGGGCAAAACCACGTCTAAAAACTATTGCCAAGAAAACTGCAGGGACTACCAGAGGAAGTTGTCAGGACTCAAGCCTAACTCAAAGTTATATTTTTGGGTTCCCCCCCCCCGCTTCTTAAAGTCAGCAATTGTTCTACTAACATTTAGCTGCACAGAATTACAGTAAGCGGTGCTATAAACCCAAGTATGCCTCAGTCACATAATTAATCTTTCTCCATATGTTTTACAAATAAAGTGGAACATCCTGAAGTGGTTTTGCAAGCCCAGAGCCACTTGGTTTCTTAATTTACCATTTGCCATAGCACTTGCATTCTTCTGTATCACTTTACTAACTTATGTGCAGTTCTGAAGTTCTTACAATGCTGTAAAACAACATGTGGGAGGCAAAAGTAAACTGCTTCTATGATCCAGTACAGTCCCCAGCCTGAGAGACTTTTCAGAGCTTTGGTAAACTTAACCCCACCCCTCCGGGCAGTCCTGATTTTTATTTATATGTCTGTGGTCCAACGGAGTTCAGATGGAGTGCTGTGTGCGTGTGTGGAGATGAGCTGAAGTCATGAGCCTGGGCTGTTGGAGTGGTTTTAATCAGCAACCCGTTAGAAGAGAATGGAAAACGTCTGACAGGGTGAAGAACTAAGTAAGTAAACATGACTCTGAACTCCAAAAGACAATGGAGGAAAAAAAGGAGAGAAAAGAAATCCGATTGAGCAAAAACTAGGCTTTTGCTCTGTTAAAAACTGTGTGGGGAGGGAATGCTGCGTACATTTTCTGGCAGGAAAAAGGCAATTTAAAAGATGAAGGAAATGGTTTTTTTTAAAGAACTCATCAGGAGAGGAATTGGAAGGGGGAGGGAAGAGAAGAAGAGTCCTGCTAGAAAAGCCTTCGTATTTTCCAGCTTTATGTGCAAATCCCTTGCTATTTTTAGCCAATATATCTTTTTTTTAACATAATTGCTCACACGGTCCTTTCCAAGGTATTGTGCAATGGAGTTTTGCTCTAAACAGTCACATTTCTTCCGTGTGTAATGCTTGAAAACCTAATGTGCATTCATTTCCAGTCCATATTGTTTATATGTTGCTTCTTTCTGTCTCTCTCACCACCAGTCCCATTGTTTTTTCCAGGTCGGACACTGCTTGCCTTTCTCTGTTGGGGGCCTCTCATTTCTTGTCTGCTGATGTCATGGAAGAACTCAAGTCCAGAAGTGATGGAGAGAGAACTTGAGTACAAAGAGCATACCTTTCTGCCTTTCTTTCATACTGGTAGAAAGCAGCCAGACTGATTGCCCCTATAATGTGGAAATGGGACAAATCAGAAATCTGAGGTGCCATGGCTTGTCGGCAGATTGTGCCTGGTCGGAGATGGTGTCGTTTTCGCCCATTCCTGATGGTGCTGGTTCTGGCTGCCTATCTCTTCTACCAGACCCTGATGCCTTTAAGATCCAAGAGACCAACAATTCCTACAAGTGGCAATGGATTACTGCCCAGCAAAGCAGCTGAGGTGCAGCGTCAGACACACCAAATCCTTGCAAGGCGAGTCAGTTGCTTCCTTCCTTCTAACAAACAACAAGGGCAGAAGGAGGTAAGAGAGATCTACAAGTTTCAAATAAATGCTGTTGATAAGCCAGTTAAAATTAACTTTTATTTCCTAGGTCACATATGTCAGTGAAATGGAAATACTGAAGTGCTTTGAATTCCTTGCTCTGGTTCACAGCCTATACAAAATGTAGGTGTAGGGTCAGGAAGGTGACCCAAAGTGGTGAATCCCTGGAACAAAGCATCAATATTCTGTTATAATAAAATGCAACATAGAAACAGATGGGAAATAGGAAGGAAGATGGAATATAATGTTGTAACCATGTCTGTGCAGATTAGATTGGTGCTCATGTTGTTCTAAATTACATAACAAAGGATCAAAGGTGATATGATTAAAGACCAGAAAAAAATTGAATTCATCTACTAGCTTATTTTAATTCTAAGATTCAGTAAAGAAGATGATGATAGAAAGACAGTAAGAATAAAAATGATGATTTCAGATAGATTTGAAAGGAGCAATAGCATTCATGAAACAGAGTGTGCACAATATTATTCTGTTCTACACCAGAAAGAAATAATACTCATCAGCTTTGTCAATAACCTCTGGTACTTCTAGACTTTTTAAAGCTTGGCCAATTCATGAGAGCTACTGAAATGGAATTTCTAGGGCAAATATTTTCTTTTCAGTCAACGAATAGGTAACTTATATTAATATCCAATATGCATTAATTCAGTAATAGATTCGTAAATGTGTTTAGGATTATCTTTAGAGCCTTGAGGTGGTCAAAACCTCACTGTAGAATTTGTAATAGTCTATGCTTGGATTTAGGTGGGTAACATTACTGACTTGATGTATACAGCATTTTGTGCACTCCAAGTACTGGGACATAATTCATAGGATTTTCAACCAGGGAATCCCAACCCAACTGCTGAAAGATCTTGGGAAAAAGCACATTTGGGCTAAGAAACTGAAAACAAGTGCTCTGCGTTGCTTTCCACTCACTTCTGTCATAATATTTATTTTCAGTAATGTACAGGAATATAAATACACACCAAATGAAAATGACATTGTGTGTGTGTGTGTGTGTGTGTGTGTGTGTGTGTGTGCCACAATGTTTTGTTTTCAAGTGGCCCTCCAACCCAGAAAAACTCAAAATAAAACTATTTGGAGGCTAGAGGGGATGGTGAGGGCAATGTGCATTTTGGGAAAGCAGAGTTTGATAAAAGATCAGCCCCACTGTGACAACCATTGCATAGGTTTGTATAAATAGCTGGGGTCTGCAATAGCAGCCATTTTTCAGAGTATCCATCATAGCTCCCATAATTCCAGATATACCCCCAACACCGAAAAACCGGGCATTATTCAGACTCTAATGTCTGCTATACATTAACTGTAAATTTTTTAGCAAGCTTTCGCCTGGCCATTTGGTAATGACATTCAAAAAGCCAGCTGAGGGACTTTGGGAAAGTCGTTGTCTTAGTTCAACCCATCTCACAGGGTTGTTGTTGTAGGAAAAACAGGAGAGCAAAAGTGTGTGAGATATGTTTTCTGTCTTAAGCTTCTTGTAAAAATAATAAAGGCAGGAAATAAATAAATACAAAACCAAACAAAACAAATTCAGATTTAGATCTGATATAAGTTTAACCAAATTCAGATGGCCTGCTTCACTCAAATCCCTGAAGATAATTAATGTAAGTTCCTGTCCTCCCATCAGCGTATGTAGATATCTAAAGACTTTTAAAGCTATACATGCCTTATAGTAAATCATGCTAAGGAAAAGAGAGAAAAATAGGATACAGATTAGGCACTTGTGTTTTAACTCTGCTTTATTCTGGCTGCCTTACAACCAATAGAATAATTTTACATCATTCTGTTTGTTTATATATCTTTGGCACCAGAAATGATGAAACATTTGCACTGAAATATATATTTGTTAGTTTTTCATAACGCGTACTTACAGTTGTACAAGCTGTTTTGGTTGTGACATCAGCTTTGCACAATTGCATCAGTGTTAAATCTCTGGAAGATGAAGTTATAAAATGCACAGACAGCCTTTTAAATTAAATGTCCTCTGAGCAAGATTGGTCTTATTATAAACAATCCTGTGTTGCTGTACAAGTAAAATAGCTCCTACCATTCCTAAATATTTATCTGCTTCCTTCCTTTGCAATACAATCTTATCTTCTTAAAGGATATAATTCAGGTTACTTTTATTAGTTTATTATTAGAAACTTTCTTAGGAATGATTTTCATCATAAAAAAGTGTTTCAAGGTAGGAAGCATTTTTAAAAATTATAAAAGTTTGTAATATTTAATCTATGTCAAATAAAGTCTCCAAGGATTTTGTTAGAATTCAAATGTTTACTTTTGCATCTACCTTTCTATGATTAAAATCATATTCAGCTGTTTTTCTTACCCCTGTTTATGTGTTTTAAAAATACAAGGGAATGTAAATGTCAGAAGTTTCCCATAACTTAAAAAAACCTCTTATGAGAAACTGGAATGAGTCTGGTTTCCTAGTGTATTCATATGATTTTCTGGGCTAGTTGTGGCAGCATCATTAGAGTAAGAGTGATGGATAAGACTAGAATAAAGATTTAGATCCCATTTGGAAAGACTCCAAGATCAATAACAAAGTTAATGCAATGAAGGAAATGCTGAGATCTGTTCCACTAACTGCACTCTTTCAAGGCACTATAGCATTACAAAGGCATTTATATCCATTTTTCTCTGTTGGCTAGCTGACTGACTGGGAGGCAGATGGCAATGTAGGTGCTATGTTAAACAGCAAATCTTTGTGTGTGTTTTTAAGGGCTAAGAGGTTATTAAAACAGGAGACTCCAGATGTTCCTTTGCCCACGTACCTAACAAATACATAAGAGTTGCTGCTTCTGATGAACTTTGACAGTACAAATATGGGAAGAAAAAGCAGATTTGAAAATATATCTCAATAGCTCAATTTCTTTTAAAAAGTGCTTTACAGAAATGCTCAAATTATAGGATAAGAGCCCCAATATCACAATAATATCAATCATATCAACAACAATATCAGCTGTTGGAAATTCTGCAGAACAGATTGTAGTGCTGTAATAAAGTACCAGAGCATATTCCCTTGTATGCTCCAAAACCATTGGATTCTTTGGCATTCTCTGTAACATTACACCATTGGGCATGCTCATGTATACATATCTCATATGAAAAAAATCAACATTCTTAGAGAGGTCCTTTATACATTAGGACTATGGTTCTGGATGTCTATAACCTCAGCCTGATCACTATAATTGACTTCCCTTTGATGGAAATTCAGTAGACATCCAAGAAGGAACAAACTGGAGCTTGTCATCTTTGCAAAGTATGTGCAGTTGTCTAGTTTAAAGACGAAGAGTCAACAACATCTTTATGGTGAAACATACTGCCATATTGTCATACATTCAGATACAAGAAAGATTTCCAATCTCAGGATGATTAAACCATAATTAACTCCAATTTATATTTATAATTATCCTTATCCTTATCCTTATCACACTTTCCTATAAGTGGATAGAAGGAGATGCGAAGAATTTAATCTGGGGATAGCAAACAAAAGGAAAATTTGGTGCTAGTTAAATAGCCCATTTTGGTTATGAATTATGGCTTACTGTAGAAGAAATGGTGAATTATTTTGTTGTGTTGCAAGGAAACTACAGTGAAGTGATTTCCATTGCAATTTTACCTGTATTTTTCTTCTGGAAGAAACTTTGATTCTAAAAATATATTTTAGGAAAGGATCCTGCATTTTATACTTGATTTATAATCCCATGTCTGAGAATTTTGGCAGCTTTAGTCTACTTGCACCTGGAGGCAATCAGAGAGTGGAAAGCTGATCTAAATAAAACAACTGGCAATATCGTGAACTGCAGGCTGCATAAGGAGCTTTGAGCTTTAGTGATGTTCTTCCTCTGAATCAAACTACAGCAGTTCCAACTATGAATTGCTCAGCCTGCTTTAATGTGGTAGCATGCCTTTAATAAAAGTATATTGTATCTTCTGATTTTTGTGGCCTGCTCTATATTTAGGCAGCAAACAATGAGAAACACAGGAACATTCCAGTCATTTCAGTCCAAAGCCCACTTCTTCCCAAACAAAAATACTACAGACAGAAACAGTTAACATGTTTTAAATAGCTTCCAGAAAACAGCAACAACTGAAAGGAAATTCACTTATTTCTAGAAATACAGGAAGCCTAAAAATGTTAAATCGGATAAACTACATCCACAAGACACACGTTGGGAAACTGTGTAGGGCTTGTAATAATGCAAAGAAGTATATTTTAGAAATATTTGTACCATTTCCTCCCTGCTCAGATGAACTACCATTTATTTCCCCAAACTAAATACTGTAGCTAGTTGACTTTATTTGCCTGGATATATTTTTTTCTTACCGATTTGGTTCCCTTTCTACTCTTTTTTATACCCCAAGCAATTTTATATCACATATAGATACAGATTAATCATCCATTGATAGTTATGTATCTGACATTCCACTTTGTTATTCCAGGTTTCTTTACATTGATTAGACTGATAACTGCATATTTCTTCAACATTAATATGTGAAGGCAACAGGCTAATTTAGGGCACAGGGAGGCCATATAACGCACAGGTTTCCCATTTAACATCCCACTCCCAGCATTTGCTAAAAAAACAACTTCTATCCTACAAACTTCTATCTTGACACAGTTGGATAGGGTAATTCACAATTTAGTTTGTTTTCCAAAAATTCTCTTGATCACTCCTAAAGCTTCTAAACTGAATGCGACTGATATATGAACTTAACCCCTTTCTTCTAGTAATGCATTAACTGTTGTGACATAACTTACTGTGACTGTTTTTTTGTTTCTGATGGGAAATGTGTGCTGTTGTGTTTTACAAACAGATTTATATAATACATGCTTAAAATTCAGGGCAAAATGATTTCTAAAGCTTTCCAGAACATGACATTGCTTATTGGGAGATAAATTCACCCCAGAAAGATAGTTTTGAGCATCCATTTTAGAAAAAAAATGGCTG